ATATGATCATCATCTCACTGTTATAAAAATGTGATATAAATATACTTCAATTTTTAGCTCAAAGGGACAATTTCCCCAGAAGGGCTATTAATTTTGTTTTGGCATTTTGTGTTGATTCACTATAAATGGCAAATCACGTTTTAAATTGTTGCCTCCAAATATTAGACCCTGTATTATATTTAAAGAAATTAAATAATTAAGAAGAATCTGCATAAATGTATGTATGTTTCTTGCATTGTGATAAAAAAACAATACCTAGAATCATAAAATTTTGAATAACATATGTTTCCACCCAAAAATGAGCATCTGGAAGTCCGTATCTGGAATTTGTTTTTTATTATCTATTTCGTATTTTGTAAAACATTTATGAGTTTTTGGTTAAGAAACTCAGTGATTTCAAAGCGAGCAATGGCAACATTTTGCAATGGCAAAAAAGCATTTTTATCAATTTTATTTTTGCAATGGCAAAAAAGCATTTTTATCTCCAGCATGCGAGACTGCGTGTCAGAAATTCTAAAGATATGCTGTTTTAAATATTTTGTGATTATCCTGAATTGAATTTTATGGTTTAAGCTTGAAGAACAAGATATTTAATAAATAAAGGTAACACACAAAACATTTTAAAAAAACGCCCGTAACGGGCATTTACACCCAACATTATTAATCAAGCAGTTAAAAAATTCTCATCTCAACACACTAAAAGGCACACTCTTGTTTTAGGAGATTATAAAAATTCTGTTGTCATTCCCTTCTTTCCATCAATAGCTATAAAGTTGCACATATTTTGCAGAAATTTAACTTTCGGTTGTTTATTCTCCCATCAATAAAATTCCGAGTTCCATACTCAAGACCCCATTCCGGATATGAATTCCTGGGGTATTTATGGATTCCTTGCCAGTGGGTTTAATTTACATTGGCCAAACTAAGAGAGCCTTAAAATTTCGTGTCAAGGAACATGAGGCATATGTTAGAAAAAAGGAAACACAGAAGTCTTCTGTGCTCAACATTGTTGGTCCGAAAACCACACTTCAGTTTTTTCTGCTGCCAAAATTATTCAAAAAACATCTTCCATTGGAGAACTGGATTTTCTAGAGGCATTTCACATTCATAAAAATCTTTGTTCTAGTTAACGATCCTAATTCCAATCCAAATTTGCCTTCGGCCTTTAAAGAAATTATGTTTTAGTTCTGGTTTCACCAACAGAAGGCACCACTTGCTTATTCTTGTCCAGGCTTTCTTATCTTATCTAGTCATTTTTCCTATCTGGTTCATTTGCGGTTTTGCAGCTGAAGATGGTGGTTCGGTAAAACCATCTAAACTAGTCCTGTGAAAATTTTGTAAATATAACGCTGATTTTTGTTGTTTAACTTCTGAATTGGTATTTATTCGGCGTGTTGTTGTGTCTTAATTATAGAAGCCCCAAACAGGCTTATTTTTTGCTTTCTTTTTTGCACGTGGTGTGGCCGCCATTTTGTGATTGCATGAGTTTCGGTAAGTACTTTTTTGCAATTTTCAAGTTATGTTTATATTTTGTATAATTTGGATATTGTGCTTTGCTTGTCTGATTTCATGCATTTTGCTTACAAACGATTAGTTTTCTATTAATTTCAGTGAGGGATTTTTCTGCTGTTTTGTGTGTGCTTTATTATTGTTTAGTTAATTTAGTTTGATTTTCTGTATTGTTTATCATGCCTTCATCCGTTAATTGTTTCACTAAATTACGCCTGAAACGGCAAAAATTCCTGAATCATCTAAACTTTTTACTTAAATGTAAATGTAAAAAATTGATCCCCAATTTTATTCAAATCAAATCTAATCAAAAACCTTCGAGTCGCGTTTCAAGAATTCTGTTAAATTGCAAGCTTGCCTTACTTCGGTCCGTCATAAGGGATACACATCAACAATTGTCCAAAATTGAACGTGAACTCTATAAGCTTCATCTGGAACTCGCTAAATCATATCCAAAATTCACTGCCCTTGAACAAAAGTCTTGGTCTAGAATGGAGAATGCAGTTAACCGTCATAAAAACACCCTTGCAGTTAAATTCGAAAAACTTCTTTTACAATCTTCCAGTTCAAGTAGTTCAAAAAGTCTTCCCATTGTAAACATCAAGCCAATAGTAAATATTTTCTAATGTTAGTCTTTCAGAAGAACAAGAGAGAATTCTAAAATATAATTTTAAATTCTCACAAACCTGTAAACCCTCGATTCCAAAGATTTTGGCTCCTATCGAAAAAGCTTTCAAGTTCAGTAAAGTTTCAGATTCACAGAAAGAAATGATTAGGCATCTTATCGATCATAATGTGAAATTCAATAATAAATCTTTGAAACCAAATCTAACTGCGAGAGAAAGAGCTACATTGCGTGAAATTCATTCTAACCCGGATATTATTATTTCAAAGGCCGACAAAGGTGGCCAGATAGTCGTCATGGATAGGAACATTTACATCGATGGTGTCACTAAACTCTTAAGCGAAGGACCATATAATCCGATCCCTAAAGATCCTTCACCTTCGGACTTGTCAAAAATAAAAACTGCGATCAAATCTTCGCAAATCATTTCAGGCAACTTAAAACATTCACTTATCCCATCTGTTGCGAATTGTGCCAGATTATATGCTCTTCCCAAAATTCATAAAAGTGGTATTCCTTTCCTTCCGCCCTATTGTATCAAATTTAGGTACTGCCTCGTATCCATTAGCTAATATTTAGTTTCTAGATTTTCAACTCTATTAGACAATAACATTTACACCATAAAAAATTCAATAGAGTTTGTAAAAAAAGTTAAAAACATTTCTCCTAGTAATTTACTCATGGTTTCTTTTGATGTAAAATCATTATTCACCAATGTCCCAGTGGAGGGTGCATTAAGATGTCTAGAAACCAGACTTCGCGAATTTCATTTCTCTTGCATCGAAATCGATGAGCTAATTTCTCTCACTCAACTCTGTTTGAAACAAACACATTTTGTTTTTCAAAATAAATATTACAAGCAAACTGAGGGATTAGTCATGGGAAGCCCCCTCAGTCCCATCCTGGCTGATATCTACATGCATTATTATGAATCAAAATTGTTTGAAACTTTAAACTTCCCGGCATGGTTCCGCTACGTAGATGATACTTTTACTCTGTTTGAAGGTAATAAAGATGATTTAAATAAAGTTCTTTCAACAATGAATTCTATTGATCCTGCTATTCAGTTCACTTTTGAACTTGAGACTTGCAATTCTCTTCCGTTTCTCGACATTCTGGTCACACGTAACACATCCAAATTCAGTACTACGGTTTACCGTAAACCTTCATCGGTTTGCCTTCCACCACACTTTAAATCATGTCATCCGACTAAACAAAAGTTAGCTTCATTTTATTCCTATGTTTTCCGTGCTCTTCAAGTTTGCTCCTCCAAACTAGCCCTTGAGGAAGAACTAAATTATTTAAAAGCAATAACTATTGGACAGGGGCTTTTAACCCAACATTATTAATCAAGCAGTTAAAAAATTCTCATCTCAACACACCTAAAAGGCACACTCTTGTTTTAGGAGATTATAAAATTCTGTTGTCATTCCCTTCTTTCCATCAATTAGCTATAACCAGTTGCACGTATTTTGCAGAAATTTAACTTTCGGGTTGTTTATTCTTCCCATCAATAAAATTCCGAGTTCCATACTCAAGGACCCCATTCCGGATATGAATTCCTGGGGTATTTATAGGATTCCTTGCCAGTGTGGTTTAATTTATATTGGCCAAACTAAGAGAGCCTTAAAATTTCGCATCAAGGAACATGAGGCATATGTTAGAAAAAAGGAAACACAGAAGTCTTCTGTTGCTCAACATTGTTGGTCCGAAAACCACACTTTCAGTTTTTCTGCTGCCAAAATTATTCAAAAAACATCTTCCATTGGAGAACTGGATTTTCTAGTGGCATTTCACATTCATAAAAATCTTTCTGTTCTAGTTAACGATCCTAATTCCAATCCAAATTTGCCTTCGGCCTTTAAAGAAATTATGTTTTAGTTCTGGTTTCACCAACAGATGGCGCCACTTGCTTATTCTTGTCCAGGCTTTCTTATCTTATCTAATCATTTTTCCTATCTGGTTCATTTGCGGTTTTGCAGCTGAAGATGGTGGTTCGGTAAAACCATCGAAACTAGTCCTGTGAAAATTTTGTAAATATAACGCTGATTTTTGTTGTTTAACTTCTGAATTGGTTTTTTCATCATCTTGAATTTTTTCAGTTTCTTTCTTTTTAAAGTGATTGATCTGTTTAATAAATGTAAAGGCCAAAAGTCTTCGTAAATGAATAAAATTAGAACTTAAAAATACCTCATGTCTTTTTACTGTCATTTTGTAGAATTATTTATTTAGTTCATTTTTGGGGATCTTTTTATCATCTGATTTTGCACAGCTGTGATAAGTTCTGGCAAAATTAAATGTACAGCAGATTAAATGGTTCCATTTCTAATTTAATTTACAGCCTCGTAACTGATAGTTGACAAAGTTGCTGAAAATTCCTAGTTGCATCTTACTTTGATTCTTTGAAACAGGAACATCTCCATTAATGTTTGTTCTCTTTATGTGCAACATGAATTGAATCTTTCGCCCAGAAAAGTTTTTTTTTTTTTTTCTTTTTTTCTTTTATGTTTGTGTGTGGATTTATCTTGTGGAAGATCCAATCGTAATAATAAAAGATTGATATGAATTTTCAATGTGTTGCAAAGTTTACAAAATTATGAAAGTGGGAAAATTTATTTTAATTTGGTTATTGTATAATAAAGAAGTGTTTAAAAAATATCTCTGTGGGCAGTTTTCTGTAAATATAGATCTTATATGTATACATGTCATTCTCAGTCTGTTTGACTAGCCTATGTAGATAAATATTCTAATCTTTTGGCACATAAAATAAAAAGCTACTGTACTTTTAAAAAATGTTTTTAATCACTATATACACTTTTTTAATTGATGGAATTGATATATTTCTGATGTTCTAATTTACTTTCAGTGGAGTTACTGAACTTGCAAATCGAGCATTGCAAGATATTGAATTTTGGTTAAAACTGAGGCCAGTGTCTTGTATATCTTACCTTCCTTTCACATTTCATGGCTGTATACTAATATGTGGTCCCAAAGGCATTGGAAAAACTACTTTAACAAAAGCATTATGTAAAGTATTAATCAAAGAGCCATATCATGTTTTCGTGCAAATCATAAACTGTTTACCACTAAAAGGTAATGATGTTTATTAACTTATATGCAGAATTATGTATGAAAGAAATAAAAATTGTGGTATAAAATAAAACTTTGATCTGACATAAAATTTGTTTCATACGTTGTATCAGTATAATAATTCTGTTTTATGTCTATTTTCAAATTGTACTTTTAAGTTTATTTGTGGTATGAGATGCATTAAAATGCAGTTTACAGTCACGAGCCAAAACATTATGACCATCCCCACATTTTTTTATGAACTCGTCTGGATGGCGTGGAGGGTACATGATTAAGTTGGAATGGTATTTAACTGCTGCTTGGAGAAGGTAAGGAATCCTTCTTGCACTTACTTTTGCAAATGATAGGAAAGGCTGCTGATCTAAAAAAATTTGATAGAGGGTAGATTGTAATGGCCCAAACACTTGGAACAAGTATCTCTGAAACTGCATGACTGGTAGGTTTTTTTCACAGTATGCCAGTATTAGTTTTTATGCAGAGTGGATAAATGATGTTGAAACTAGCAGTAGATGCCAAGTTGTCAGACATCCACTCATCATCAAAGGATGTCCCTCTTGGTACAGCAAAATCGGCACCTGACAGCCTAATACAATGCATGTTCAAGTGCAAGTGTTTCGGAGCATACACTTCAGTGAACACTGTGCAGCAGATGTAGCACTTGTGTGTCTCTGTTGACCAAGCGCCATTGTCAACTACACTTACAGTGGGCCCAGGAACATCAAGACTGGACCTATAGCTATAAGTGGGAGACAGTTGCCTGGTTGGATGAATCACAATATCTCATTCATTATGTCAATGGTCTTTTCAGCATACATTGTCTTCTATGCAAATAGTTGTTCCTTTCCTGTACAGCAGGTCATACACAGGTTGGTGGTGGCAGTATTATTCTTTGGGAGACATTCTCATGGGCAGTCACAAGGCTCAAATTGTGTTGGATTGGTTTGAGGAGCATGAGGATAAATCCCAGTTAATGTTCTGGCCACTAACTCACCAGATCTTAACCCGATGTAACATTTAGGATGTCATGGAATGGCAGCTCAGAGCTCAAACACAGCCATGTTGGAATATCTCTCTGCATGATTGCTACTTAGACATTTGGCACAACCTGTCTCCAGTCATCTATCAAGAACTTGTGGCATCCATGCCAATGTTTTGCATATGTTACCAACCACATTATTGAGTAGGTGGTCATAATGTTTAGGCTCTTCAGTGTGTATTGTATTGAAAAATATTTGTATTGCATACCTACGAACTTTTCATGTGTTGTGCATAAAATGTATGCATCTTCACATTATTTTGCAATTGAATTGATAATTCTGAGGTGAATGCCTTGGCTGTATGGTCGGTTTTCATGGTTTTCATGTTCTATAATGTGAATATAAGCTATTCTCCATTAGAAAGTTCTTCATGAAGGCAATCTTCTCCATAACCCAAGTAGAAATTTTTAATTATTCAACTTGTATATTTATTGTATTCGTAAACATTGCTTTGTGTTGAAGTATTTAGAAAATATTTTTGTGCAATTCCTTTATAATGAACTATGTAGTACATGAGGTAAGATATTTGATTATTCATTATCTTTTTCCTCAGCCAGACATCATATGTAAAGTTTTACTAGTTTATTTCTTTCCAAATATTCTTTATTTGCAAGTACTACACCACGCACACATACACACTTATATATATATTTCTTTTATAAATAAACTTTCATCAGTTTCAACAATTTTGTTGTGTTCATTGATTTAATATTAGAATGAGATAAGAAGGATTTGGCACATACCTCTCTCGTGTAATTATTTGAATCAACCATTGTTTTGCGATTTAAAGCAAGCTTTAATTAACAACTAAATTGACATTAATTCCAAACAAGACAAGTAACTGAATGGTATTGCAATAGTGAAAAATATGCATGATTCAACAAACAATGTTTATATTCAGAACACCATTTTATCCCCCAGCTTGAACGGAGGCTCGGTAGTCATTACGGCTTTGAATCACATTTTAATTTCATGAACTGATCATTTGGACGCAGTCTTTGTTTTTGAAGAATATATATTGAAAAAAAAAGGGATAGCTGCCTCTTCATTTCTTGGCAAATTCCAAATCAGGAAATCTGTTGCTTTTAAAAAAAGTCTGATCAAATTAAAAATGTGGTTATGTGCATAACGTTTGTAAAGGCAGTTATAGGCAGAAAAGTCAAATCAAACTCATGATATGGCAGAACCAAAAAAGAAGGGGGGGAGAAGGAAAAAAAAGGAGCAAGAATTGAGTTCCCTTAATGGGAAAATAACAAATAAATAAATAAAAATCTTAGAATTTATTGAAGGAGTGAGAGAGAGACCTACATGTTCATCACAAATTTTGAACAAAATCATGTAATGTTATTTAGAGTTCATTGTTGAATGGAATAATTAAGGATAGTAAATTACTATACAATAATTAAAAATAGTAAATTATTCATTATCTCACTTATAGTAATGCTAATTATTACTATTTAAATTTTGAATTAAAAAAGTTCACCTTATCTGCATGTAAATGCAGCACGCATTATATGCAAAATTAAAAGAATAATTATTCCTTCACTAAGTATTATTTTTATAAAGGCAAACTTAATTTTGCTACCTTTAAGAAAACAAAAAATGTTATTGATATTTTGTATTCTTTTTCAGGTAAGCGCATTGACACCATAAGTAAAATGTGGGATGATGATACGTCAGAAGCTCTCTACTATCAGCCTTCAGCTATAGTGTTTGAAAATTTAGATTGCATTGCAAGCTGTGCTGCATCTTATGAACAAGAAATTAGTCCTGAGGGAATCTATGCTGCTAATATAGTTCAAAGTAATTTTGTTTGCATTTTTATCTTTAATCTCAATCAGGGTTCGTAGCTGTCCTTATATTTGAAAGTGCTTATAAGCCCTTATATTTGAAAATAAAATATAAAGGCCCTTATAGGTGCTTACTGTTTCTTTAAAGCCCTTATTTTTTTGTTTTTAGTGCTTATTTTTTGCTTTTAGTGCTTTTTTTAATTCTTTGTTTTTAATGAACGCTCATTTTTTCCCCGTACCAAAGCCGAAACTAAATAAACAACTTTTTTTCCTTATATGCAACGTCAGATGGTGAATCGTACTCCCGAAAATTGCTTCCCCCCCTTCCTCTGCATTAAGGTAACCTATGGTGCGCGCGAGAGTACAGACAGGTGCACGTCGTGTTCTATTGGCCAAAGAATTGCGAAAACGTAGAAAATTCCGGTACACTCGGTATTTTTTTCCTCCCACCCAAATACTACACACGTTTGAATTTCTATCAAGATTTTAATAAATTTGCATTCTCATTCCGCGTGGTCAGTTCATATTCGTGTTTTTTATGATCCTTATGCTTATATTATGAGCATATTTATGAATATTTATAATAATATAATTGCACTAACTGCTGAAGTATGGATAAACTTCCAAAAATGGGTGTGTTTTTACACACATTAGCTTTCTAAGGAATAATATTCGGAATGGCTTAAATAAAAGGAAAGTAATCGAATAGTCAAAATAATTTCATTTTCTTTGCCAATACATTATACAGTACGGAGGTTGGGAGTTTCTCCGCAAAATCTCTAATATTGAAGCAGCGGACTTTTTTTTTTTTTTTTTTTTTTTGTCACTGTCCAATCTGGATTGAATAGGACTAAAAGTTTTTGCGGTCTACCCAATCCAAGCCAAGATTGATTCTATTCCGGAAATTTAATACAGTCTGTTGAAAATTAGAATCAGAAACACCCCAGATTAGTAAGTCTTTCTTTTCCTTTATTTAGTTCTTCTTTCTCCGAATACCGACAGGTGTTGATTCCAATTGCGTAATATCACATATGGAAGAATTACGCCGCACGTATTGCGCAATAACGTTTGCGGTATTTTGCATTGATAATTAATTTTGATGTTCAGTCTGAGATTTGTTTATGAACACTTAAAAGAGTTTTACTGTGCTTTCTAAGCAGAATATTTCTCAGTTGCTTTGGTTTTTATATGATGCACATATCGAAATGTCAAAATCATTTATTTAGCCTAAATTTAAATCTAAAGAACGGCTACAATCTCCTCCACTCCTCTTTTCCAGTTACTATCCGGAAAATTCGGGAATATCCGAGTATGCTAGTTAGTTAAGCTTTTACTGTTAAAGGATGACTGAATGAAGCAATTTCCCGTCTTCTGATTTCAGAAATGTGCCTCTTTTTTACTTAAATTACTTTGCTTGGGATATATGTTAAGGGAAAACTGTTATGCAATGAAAATTTAGAAAATGTTCAGAATTTTGATTTAAGTTAAATTATTTAAATATTAATATGAGTGGAAAAATAAATTGTATTTATTATTAGATGCCAAACGAATACAATTAATATGGCTTATTATTATTTATTTTCTATATTTTCAACTGAAATATCACCATTAAATTTTGTAATATAGTTTAGTTCTGCGTCGTCTTTTTTTCCCTTTCATTGTAAACTAATTCTGTAAATTGAACTGTCATTTAAAATTAAAAAAAAAGTTAATTGTTTTCCATTGAGGTAATGCTCATTCTCTTAATAAATACTGCATTGCTATTAATTATTAAAATTAAAAAAAAAGTTAATTGTTTTCCATTGAGGTAATGCTCATTCTCTTAATAAATACTGCATTATATTTTAAATTACAAGTCTAATTTTTCTTTTAAGGTTATGCAGTTGTGTATAATGTAATTAGACAGGTGCTTATTTTTTCCTTAAAATGTGCTTGAAAAGTGCTTATAGGTGCTTATTTTTTTAACTAAAATGTGGCTATGAACCCTGTCAATACAATTTTCAGTTTCTGAAAGAGCAGGTTTATGAGTTTTAATGTTTATTTCTTTTTTGGTAACATAAAAATCTCATTTACTTCATAGCAAACTATCTTCATAGCATCATATCATTTACTTCATAGCAAACTATCTTCATAGCATCATATCATTTACTTCATAGCAAACTATTTCACTAATATTTTTATATTTCCATTTGCTACATGCTTTTTTTTATTGCTCTTGGCAACTTTTTAGTATTCTTGATTGCAAATTAAATACACTGGTGGACAGAATCAAAAGATAATAAACAAAATCCTGTACATCTTTAAATGGGCAAAATAAAATTTCTTAGAAAATATGCCAATTATATAAAATTGCATAAAAATACATAATAATACAAATTACATAAAATACCATGTGGATTTATGCCAGACTGCAAAAATACAGATACTTGTCAGATAGCAAAATAAAATGGCATGCGAATAAAATATCTAGCATGATAAGGATATAAAGTATTATATTCATCTTCTGATATTCAAGACAGTTAACTCAGTGGAAGGCACATCAAGAAAAGTTACTGGAGTGGGCACAAGGGATATCACATATCCCAATGTTTAAAATACGGTAAAATAGTTTTATTTAGTTTTAAACCTGGTTTTCTTTTATAATATGTGCATAATACTTGGGTTACAAAATTCAATTTCCGAAATAAGTATATAGAGAGTTAAAATTAAGATAAATGAAAATAATAAAAAAAATAAACATCATACCTCTAAGTTTTATTGCATATCTAATACACAATGCTTATTTTACCTGTTTTCATTTTGAACAAAGTGCATTCACGTGTTCTTCACAAAAAGTTTTCACATTTTAAATATTGCATTAGCATTCTTCTGTGCTTGGCTCGAGAGCATTCATCAGATCTTTTATACTTTGTTTTTGCTGCTTTGAATTTCATATATTCATTTAAATTATTTGTTGAAACTTCTGCTCTTCTTTTGCATGCAGTACAAAAGCTTCTCAGTAAAGTATTAATATCTAATTTTTGTTCAATATTTTTTTTATTAATTGTAATGCCAAGTCCTTTAAAAAAGACATCTGCTTGGTGGATTACTACCAAACCACTGTCAAGGTAACATACTCTGGATGTACCACACTCCATTTGGCTCTGAAAGCTTAGCAGCACTGCATCACTCAACACTCTGTCCTAGATATATGCATGGACTGATTTTACCCCACCTCCTTAATTTTCTTTCATTAACAGTTTTTTTTTTTTTTTTTTTTTTTTTTTTTTTTTTTTTTTTTTTTTTTTTTTTTTTGTTTTTTGTTCAATCAGCATTTTCTCAAAGGAAGTTTCAAGCTATAATAACTTGGTTAATAACTCATAGACACATATGCATGCATTGCTTTTGATATAAAGTATTTTTGCACAATTTGTGAAGTAACTGTCTAGCAAATTGTATTTAATTGAGATTGATATCCCTCCCAATGGTGGGTCCAAAATGTCCATAGACATTGGCCAATACTAAGACCAGAAGAGGAGGCCACTTTATAATGGAGGCACCTAATAGGTGACCCACTTTTGCATCCTATGAGGGGACAAATGCAACTATGACTTCTCAGGATTTGAACCTGGGCCCTTTTGTATTGTAGTCAGCTCCCTCAACCACTATAGCATTTGGGCGGCCAGATTGATATAAGTAGATAGTTTGAAATTTTTTTTGTTTTTCTTGCATTAAGATGTTATAAAGGTATGGAAATATTGTCTTTAAAAACTGAGAAGTATTTTTGATCAAATCTGAAATTGGTAAAATCTTTAATACTTTTTTTTCTATTTTTTATAAAAATTAAATAATTTATTTCATCTATGGTGTATACCATCATAGTACACCCTCTGTTTACTTGTTTTCATTTCATTTATTAATTTCTTCAGGCTTTTGATTAAAATCTTAATTGATTTATTAATGAATTTAAAACTGAATGAAGAATACTGCTTCTTAAATTTTTATCTTGTAAATCTGTGAATTAGTATTTGATTGTACAGTACAAAGTCCGTAATTCGGACTTGTCGGGACTTCGGTGATTCCAGATTAGGGTTTTTTCCAGATTATAGATCATCAATTTAAATCTGGTAAGATGGCATGCAGAAATTATACAATTAAAAATATGAAACCATAATTTATAAAATAAAGAGCAATTATGATCTAAAGGGTATCAAAATTTACAAAATAAATAAATAAATAAATAAAAAAAGCTTAATATTTATTTGTGTACGCTATTAAACATTTCTTTCAATGTAAGTTGTTTGAGTTGCTTCATTTTTTGTGCTAATACTTTCTCTTTAATTCATTAGCATTGGACCCGTCAATGGCATGCCCTCGCTGCGACGCTGTCTGACCCATTCAATCATCACTTTGTCATGATCGTCACTTTTAGCATAACGAACCCTTTTTCTATTATTCATTGCAAGTGGGGTGTCGGAATCCACAAAAAATTAAAAAAGTTCCTTTTTCTTTTTTCTTATGTCATATACAGTTGACTTTCCAATGCCAAACTCTTCGCATAATTTTGAGACGGATATGCCTTTATCCATTTTTTGCAGCAATTCCACTTTTTATTTAATGGACATTGAAACATGCTTTCGCTTTGTCGATGCTTTGGCAGCTCCAGAATTGGAAACTCTTTTTGATGTATTCGAAAGTTCAAGCTTAATTTTATAAAATTGCTCTAACAGTCTTCTGATTATAGATAATGGGCATCCAGATTATGGACTTTGTACTGTATTCATATAACTTATATGTGCTTGTCATATGTTAATATATGTGTTATTGAGATTTTTTTATACATAATAGGAAAACTTTGTTTTTCAGCATTTCTTCATTTGCTGAACAGAATTTTTCAGAGTGATGGGAAAATAGTAGTCATTGTCACTGCCCAGTCAACTCACTCTCTTCATCCTGCTATAATGCGTACTAAAGGGAGGCATGTTTTTGATAGCATTATTGAAATACAGCCTCCTTCTCCAGTATGTATAAATAATAAGTTATTAAAAATTAGTTTAATATGAAAATTAGCCTTTAAATACAATCTGTTTTCAACAAACTGAACAAAACAATAAAAATCTTTGGAAAATCTCCTCCTCCCCCCCCAGAAAGGATGGGCAAATTTTATGCGTGGTACTGCATAATACCATGCATATCGTATAAAAGTGACTAGATTTTTCTGAAACCAGTATAAGACAGAAAATTTCAATGACTTTAAAGGGGAGAGAGAAACATTTTTCTGTGCAGCTTAATTTTATTTGCAACAGCTAGTAGCTGGATTTTTCCAATAACTTACATGTTAAAGTGGTACAATTCAAACAGACCCTGAAGTTCAAAATGATTTCTGTGTTCTTTGAAGAAGGTCACCTTAGATAATATGACTGTGAATGATATTTAATACCAATGTTTGTGTTCTCTGAAATACTGCCCCTTTTTAGATATGATTGTTAATTTTGCTCAATTAATTTTTTTTTTAAAAATGTCATTTAAAAGATAAAAGCATCTGAAAATATGAGTTTGACATCCTGAAGTGGTTGTTTCCAATAAACAGAATTCAATTATTAGTATTATATTAGATTCAAAAGAAACATGATCATTCTGATTATGTTAAAAATTATGTTCCATTTTGCTTAGTTTTACACTTGGACAGCTGTTTAAGGCATTTCATATCTATCCATGTAGAATATGTTTTTGAATTATTTGGTATCAGATAATTATTCTTTGAGAATATTTTCTCCTATAAATTAAGTTTTTTTCCATGTGTTTAAATATTTTTAGAATGTAATCTATGTGAAATTCTTCATAAGATAATTTTACTGATTGTTTTCAGCTGTGAAATGAAGCTGGATTAGAAATCTGGGAATTCTTTGTAAAGTGTTTTTGCATCTTGTAGTACCCTAATATATATACATATATGGAGTGACACTAATGAAGTTTGTTTCAATTAATTATATTTACAAAATTAAGAAATGTTGGCAAAATGTGGGATATTTTCTGAAGCAAGATGCTGCATTGAAATGCAGGACTGTCTCACACAATTTTGGAATCTGATCTCTTTAGCTTTAAGGTAATTAAATACAGAAAATTTTTAAGACCAGTTTTAAACTTCGGCTGTGATAGTACTAGAAAATCCAAGATGTAATTTAACATGTAAGAATTACACTGTCACATTAAAAAATGTATCTGTGTACCACTAACAATAATGTTATATTAAATTTTCTTTTTCTATTGCAGTATTAATTTATTTTATCCCAATTTCTTGAAAAATAGCTCATTTTTTAATGCTAAGTGTTCCATATTAATAATAAACCTATCCATAGGCAAGAACTGTGATGTATTTAAAAACTTTTTTCTTGGTCAGTGTAACTTAGTAATATCCAAAAATCTTTTTCAGTTAATTTTTAAAAAATTGGGCATTAATCAAAATAAAATTAGTTTGGTTTATTGCTGATGAATATTCACTAAAATTCCACTTTTTGGAAGACGAGCAATTAACCTCATTAGTGAAAGGAGTGAATATTAATAATAATCTAGCTTCAGATACAGTGAAACCTCTATAAGAAATCTATCTACCTATCTTTTCAAACTTTTTTTTTTTTTTTTTTTTTTTTTTTTTTTTTTTTGTGTGTGTGTGTGTGTGTGTGTGTGTGGTGATGGTTATTTTAAAGATGCAATGAAGAATTTGCAAAGGTAATTACCATTAGCTACCATAAATACCAGTATTGTTGTTTATTACTGTTTTAAAATGTGTTAGCCATTTTCAGAGGTGGTCTCCTGTGGTAAATTTTTGCTGTGAGAAATTTCACTGCATTTATTGAGATTGTCAGTCAGGTATTTTTTGTTGTTTGGGATAAGTTTTTATAATTTTAATGCTTGTTAGATTTAACATTTTGTTTTGCTTTGGGGATGAAGTTATTTCTACATATAGCAGCTAATTTTCATAAGATATTTTCCTGTAGAGGAATGCCATTTAAAATGCAATTTTTTCTTCAAATGACAATTTTATGTATGCACGCGCTTACAAACACATACACATGTGTATATATACACTGTATCCACAAAAGTCCTTACTCTATCTTTATTTTCACAAGTTCATTATTTCATTATTAGATTTTTTTTATTATTCCTTTTATTTTATGCTTTATTATTATATGTGTTTTATGTTGTAGGATATTTAATTTTTGAACTTAATAGTTAAAATTACTTTGTTTCTGTGCATACCACCTATTTTTCTTTTGTATACCTCCAGTGGTATGCATACAGTCAGTTGAGAATCGCTGGTCTACAGTTTATCTCAAATTAAAGGAAAATTAACCAAGTATGTTACCAACTTCAGTATGAAAATTTGTCAAAACTTCCTACCATGCAGATGAGCTTAGATTTGAATTGTAAATAAAGCACTGATATTTTTGACTGAAATATCTCTCCTGAAAATAAGGCTAAAAAGTGTCTTCACATTTTAAAAATTTTATCGCGGTGTGCATTTATAATTTTATTAATACCACTACTATAAAATGTGAAAGTTCATATTTATCTGTATATTCACAAATAAGATATTATTACTGCAATTTTCTTTACTTTTTATTATTTCATATCCTCATATTAATTATAATGAAACATGCAGAAAATTTTCTGTATTTAATGACTTATCAGAAATGGGGCATAAATGTTCCACTAAAAATTTTGTTATTGTACAAATTTTACCTGAATCATATTACTAAAATACTCTACTGTGAGTACCTCTTACTTAAATGTCATATATGTACTTCGTATTTAAATTCTTAAAAAGCTTCATATTTTTGAAGATATGCCTTTGTAGAAGAAAATCTTTCTTTTATTAACATAATTGTGTTACGTATGTACACTGTGCAAAAAAAAGGGGGGCAGTTCTATATCTCCCGTTCTACTGGGCCAATTGACAAAATTCAACTTGTGTTTTTCATGTCTCGAAAGCGTGACTTAAAATATATATTAGATTTATATAAAGCATTGTTCTAATATAGGTATTTTGACAAAAAATCAGACTTTTTCTGTAATAATATGCCAATGTTTTACCATATTTCGATTCTACGACTCAAATTATAACAAATTGCCAAGTTTTGTGAAAATCGCACAAGTAGTTTTTTAAAAATTAGCTCTCAAAATTTTAGCGCCTTAATGTTAATTGAATTTGATATATATTTGTTAATATCTCTTTATGCATTAAATTTATTTGATTCCTTCTTCCAGAATTCGAAATTTAGGCTTTATCCAAATATAATTTGCACATTTTTTATTGTTTATTTTTAAAAACTTCTATTTAAAAAATTTTTTATAAATTTTTCGAAAATTTTTTTGTATTATAATACAGTCAAAAGTCGTTAATTTGGACACCCATAATCCGGAATGATCTATAATCCAGACCTCAAAGCTACAAACTTTATGCGCATGCGTCGCGTTGACGCATAAGACCTATACGTCTGCGAATATGCGTGTGCGCATGCGCAAAATACGTTTACGAATGCGCGTTTAATGTATAACGGACGGTATAAGCTAAGCTAAAATTATCTAATTCAGTTAATGTTGCAGATTGCGTTGTTCCTTCGAATTGGATTCAGCTTATTATTTTTTGCAGACTGTTAGAGCAATTTTATAAAAGTAAGCTTGAACTTTCGATTATGTCAAATAGAATTTCTGATATATATTTACTAATATGTAAAAGATATACAAAACGAAAGTATGTTTTGAAGTCCATTAAACAAAAAGTGGAATTGCTGCAAAAAAATGGATAAAGGCATATCCTTTGTTTATCTAAACTTTGTTTATCTTTAACGCTGCGGCGCGCAATGAATTGGAAGTTGATCTGTCAGCACTATCCTTATCTTCAAGGCAGATGTTTTTATTTTATTTGGTTAATAATTCCTTACTAAATGTAGTATTTCATCTCGGTGTACTCCGTCTTTGATATGATTTAAAACAAGTTCCTCGTCATTGTAGTTCGCTTCCGATAGTGAAGAAAGTGACAGAGGTTATTGAAAACGAAAAAATTTCAATTGACAAATTAGTCGGCATTCTCGATACAGCAATTATAGGACTTGAACAGCGGAACTTTGTAACTGAACAAGAAATTATGTCTGTGTATAGAATTAAAGAGAATGTATTATCACATAAAAAACGAAGCAACTTAAACAACTTACATTGAAAGAAATGTTTAAATAAAGTAAGCAAATAAATATTAAGCTTTTTTTTTTTGTAAATTTTGATACCCTTTAGATCATAATTGTTCTTTATTTCATAAATTATGGTTTCATATTTTCAATTTTATAATTTCTGCATGTCATCCTACCAGATTTAACTGATGATCTATAATCCGGAATCGCCGAAGTCCCGACAAGTCCGGATTAACGACTTTTGACTGTAACCTATAAAATTAACATCATCTTAAAATAGATGTATTTCTAAGCTTATCTGCAAAAAATTAGAGATATTCATTCAAAATTTCCTAAGATATAAATGAATTTACATCTTAGCATGCTTTGAAATTTGTCGTATTTAATATAAGTGATAAGAACGAAAATGTGGTTTATGCTCTTTAAAATAATTTGAAAGTAGGAATGATGGACCTTTATCGCTCTCATGCATCAACGGAAAAAACAAGAAAGAAAGTAGGTTACTATAAATTCAGAATTCCTGCAAATGAATTATTCTTGGCACAAACTGAAAAAAATTTGCCAAGATAAATTCTTAAACATCTCCATAAATTTCTCACCAAAAATTACAAAATTTAATATGTAGGCATAATTTGAGTTGTAGAATCGAAGTATAGAAAAAAAAAATTGATATGTTATTTCAGAAAAAGTGCAATTTTTTATCAAAATACTTATGTTAGAATAATGCTGTATATAAATCTAATATATATCCTAAGTCGTGCTTTCGAGACATACAAAACCCAATTTGAATTTCATCAATCGGCCCAGTAGAACGAGAGATACAGAACTGTCTTAATTTTTTTGGTTTTTTTGGTGCAGTGTACAATACTAATATCATACTAACATGGAAAGCATGAGATTTAGTACCTGCACTTTTCTGACTGACTTTTGGAGGAGTATTCCTGTTTTAATGTTTAAATTAATTAAAACAGAAACTTATGTAAGGTTTCGAATTCATATCTTTCTGTAACAAATATTTTCATATTAATTTTAGCCTGATCTCCCCCCTTTCCTTTTTTTTTTTTTTTTTTTTTTTTAATATAGGAGCAGAGAGAAGACATTTTATGTTCTCTAATCCGTAGTAAACTTCATGTTATTAGCACAAATGTTACTCATATACCCTGGCCAAAAATTGTACAAAGAACTGAAGGTTTTGTTGCACAGGATTTAGATATGTTAGTGGATCGAGCAACACATGCTGCGTGGGTAAGGAGGGGTAAGTTATTATTTTAGACTTTCATGAAATTTTCTCTTAATTTGAATTTTGTATTAATTGTCTTAAAATTCTTTTTATAACATCTTGACATTTTATTCGTTTTCAGTTTTAATACAATTTTATGTGATATAAATGGAAGTGTTTACCAATCAATAATAAGCCCTTTCATTATCTTTGTTCGTAGTAAAGTGTTTACATTAGTTTACTGCATTAAATTAGCCATTTAGAAAGTCATTTTGTCTGGTCTTTATAGTGTTATTTTGTATCAACTGTTATTTTTATAATCAAAAGTATCATGAATAAAGTGGATTTTTACTATTATGTTAAGTTACTTGCGAAATTTTTAACTCTACTTATACACACTATCATTTAAAGTAAAATCTAATGATTATGATAAAATTTTTGTTTCAAGACTCAATTTTTTTTTTAAATTTGTTCAAATGTTAATTTTTATATATATATTTTCACATATTTATAGTGTTTTACATTCAAAGAAGAATTATAGAAACAAATGAAGCTTTAAAAATAAAATTCTGTTTGAATTAATTTTTAATGTTATTCAGCAGTAAAAGTTTAATTCTGTGAGTTGACAAAAGTAGTGGTTATTTTCTATTTCAGAAGAGGAGCGAAATATTGTATAATTTTTCTTTATTTTTAAATGCAATTAATTTTTTAGATCTTTAATGGTGAACACATGGAGATGTTATACTATAACCTCAAATTCTCAGAGTACTCTGTATGTATGTAAATATTTAAATGTAATTCTTTCAAAAAACTGTAATTGTAACAAGTCGCATGAGCTTTTATTTTTATTTATTTTTTTTCCCCTTCTTTTTTTGGTGTGTGTGTTTGTGGGTGTGATACACTGGCAACAGCGAAACAATATTTTGTTCTTAAGATTTTAATTCAAGGAGCCAGTTTTTGAGTATGGGATATTGAATTGCAATGGAATACCATAAATCGATGCTTAAACAAATGTTCTTGTTTTGTATATTTATTCTTGGGAAAGCCAGAAAGGCTGGCCTCAGAACTTAGACTAATGATAAATAGTGAAGTTAAAATGTTAGAGATGAAAGAGTTAATAGTTAACTCGAATGAATTTAAGATAGATGATAGCTGTGTGAAAAATTATCTCCAGACCATAACGTCAAGTTGTACTGAAGATGAGTATCAATGGTATGAGCAGGAAGAAGAATGGAAAAATCAGAAATATGCTAAGAAAGTTATGTTTGAGCCTGGAAATTTAAGAGGAACGAAAGCGTGTTCCTGTCCAAAGCCTTGCACCTAAATTTGAATGTCAGAAGATTTTGCTAAGTTTAAGGCCAGAAGAAGATGATGTCGGTATATTTCTGTGACGAATGAAACTGTTGAAATTTGAAGGAAACTTATAGGTAACTCATCTTCTTGGAACTTTATCATTAGAGGTATCTAAGCTGATTGCTAGTGAACTGGAGGAAAAATTTCAGAATTATGCTCATATAAAATTGTTCTTCTCAAATGATTTAAGGTGACTGTGAAAAAATTCAGGAGATTGTTCAAAAAAACTAAGAACTGTTAGGTCATTGAATGAATTTTACTTCTGACTTAATGATTTTGGACCAAATGAAAAAGCACAGTGTCATTGATTGCAAAGAATACTTTTTGGATGAATGAAAACAACAATTGATGTTTCAGCAGGAAAATTTGATGCTGATGAGAATGCGAGAAGTTCATTTCTGGAAGATTGAGGGAGAGCTCAGTCAAATTTTAAGTCAGATGGTCATTCTTCTAACATAGAGAGCTTTGCTGTAGATTGGGGAAGTGCAAACACAAGGAAAAGCTTTGAACCATCGCCCAAACTGTTCAAGGTCAACAGTGGCTCATAGACTTTAGCAATATTATCAGTTTTTATATTCACAAATATTCTTTTAACCACACACATAGTAAAATTTGTCATAAATGATGTTTTTAAAAGGAGTAATAGAAGTGGACATTGTATTTAATAGGAAATAAAAATAAGTTCCTATAAAAAGATAATAGTACCTCATTAATTCTTTTAGAATTGATCGACACATATGCCACCACCATTCCCACCTCATATTGCTCTTTCAATTAGAATAATTTTTTACATCATTTGCTGTCTCTGAAAGCAATTTTGGTTTGTTGCTTTGCATTCCTTGTGGACGCGATGAGAATATCGTGGAAGATCGTTAGTGCATTTAAATATTTTGGAAAAAATAATAAAACGAACCTAATTTTCAGTAAGAAAAAACGGCTAGATTTTATTAAGAAAAAGTGATTACAGTCAAAAGTCGATCTGGACTCGTCGGGACTTTCGCGATTCCGGATTATTGATTTTTCCGGATTTATAGATCATCTCGGGAATTATAAAATTTAACTGTAATTTTTCAGATGGTATCAAAATTTCTTAATATTTATTTGTTTACCCTTTCAAACTTCGGTGGTTTTTCCGCTGTCAAGATTGGTGGAGAAATTTGTCATCGAAACACAAGAGAAAAGGCTCAGTGGGATGAGTAAGCCCAACACCTGTTCAAGGGGAACAACAGATAAACAAAGATAATCCACAATTCCCCATAGCAATGCAAATCCGAAATTCTAGTTTCAAATATAATGAGTCTGCAAATATTCCACTTTTAAAACGCACAACACATTAGTAAGTAGTATGTGCGCATTTGTAAAATTTGATTTAAAGGTTTTTGCGCAGAAAGCTTTGAATCATTCCCGAAGTAACGATTGAATAGGAAATACAATAAAATTTAAATATAAAATATAATGAAAGTTATAGGGTATATTAATAGGAAACGAAATAAAGTCCTATAAAAAGATAATAGTACCTCGTTAATTCTTTTAGAATTGATGGATTTATTAGTATATCTACATTTATGCCACCACCATTTCCACCTCATATTGCTCTTTTCAATTAGAATTATTTTTTACATCAATTTGCTGTCTCTGAAAGCAGGTATTTTGTCTTGTTGCTTTGCATTCCTTGTGTTTCGACGCGATTTGAGAATATCGTCGTTTGTATTTGAAGAACTCGTAATATATTGTGCATTTAAATATTTGTGAAAAAATAATAAAACGAACCTAGATTTTCAGAATAGAAAAACGGCTAGGATTTATTAAGAAAAGTGATTATTCACAGCAGGTGGATCCAGGCAATCATCTAGCATTAAGAATATTGAAAAGAAAAGAAAAACTATTTATAGAAAATATAATGAAAGTTATTTATCATTAGGGATTTACTTGGAATGGAGATGAAATGGATCCGCTATCTCAATGTGTTGTTTGCGGTGAACTGTTATCCAATCAAAATATAAAACGATCGTTTCTTAAAAGGCATCTTAAATCTAAGCATGCCAATTTGAAGGATAAATCTGAATAATATTTTAAGAGGAAATTATCGGAACTTGAAAATAGTAAATAAAGTAATGAAAGGTTTTGTCATTTAAAGTGAGAAAGCTTAGGAATCTAATTACCTAGTAAGCCTAAGAATAGCCAAGACTGGGCAGGCTCACACTATGGGAGAAAACCTTATGTTACGAGCAGCTCAATTACCTTTTTAATATTATTCAACGAAAAAGCCACCAATGAACTTAATAATATTCCTTTATCAAATGATACAGTTAGTTGACTAAATTCCGTAAAAGAGATAGTTATTCAAAAATAGAACACAGTGAGTATTTCGCATTGCAATTGGATGAAAGTACTGACATAACGAATTTTGTTCAATTATTAGTTTACATACGTTTCGAAGAAGATAAACGAATTGCCGAAGAGTATTTATTTTATGAATCTGTTCATGAGAGAGCAACTGCAAATGAAATTTTCAGAGTAATTGACAATTTTATGTCTGAGAATGATATTCCTTGGAATAACTGCATTACCATATGCAATGGCTTTATCACAAAAACATTCTAGTGTTATTTCTCAAATAAAGAAAGTCGCACCTGAAACTAAATTTTCTCTCTGGTCTATTCATTGTGAAGCTTTAGTAGCCAAAACAATTCCCCAAAACTTGAAATTTGTTTTGAATTAAGCTGTGAAAATTGTTAATTCTATTAAAAGTCTTTAAATTCAAGAATATTTGCCATTTTATTCTAAGAAATGGGCAGTGAATATGAAACACTTTTGTTATATTCTGAAGTAAGGTGGTTATCTAGAGAAAAAGTTTTAAATCGTCTATTTAAACTTCAGTCAGAAATTCCAATTTTCCTCTGTATTTCAAAATTTGAATTGCAAAATTGTTTATTTAGTGAATTAAAATTGGTGGGTTTAGCATATTTAACTTATATTTCTGGAAAGTTAAATGAATTAAATTTAGGATTACGAAGACAAAGTGTTAATTTGTTTACCATTAGAGAGAAAATAAATACAATGATAAAAACTCAAGCTAATAATCAAAGAACTGAGTAATAATATTTTAAGTTTTTTACCACTTTTAAAACGTTTTGCAACTGAAAATAATTTGAAAATAAAAGATGAATTTGCGTCCGACATTAAAAATCTTTGTTTTTCATTGATAAATAATTGCAACATGTGTTTTCCCGATGATTATGAAATACACTTTGGATCAGAAATCCATTTTATTCAAATGTACCAGAAATTTTACAAAAAAAAGAACAATTGTTAGAAATTTTCTGTGATCGAAAAAATAAATAAATAAATAAATAAATTTAAAGGCATTTCAAATAAAGCTATGAAATTTTGATTGCCTCTTTTCTTTGCACAACCTATTTGTGTGAAAAAGGATTTTCTTCATGTTATATTTTAAAAATAAATACAGAACAAAATTAAAAGTGGATCTTAATTTCCGGTTAAAGCTAAGTGAAAAAAAAAAAGACATAAAGAAACAATTTTGATAATTAAAATGGTAACCAATTTTTAATCTAATTTTTTTATATATGCATATTTTATACAAATAGCAAACAGACTGTTGAAATGGCAAAATATATATTTTTTTAATATTTCTATTGAGAAACTAAAAAACGCTTTTTGTAAAATGTTGTAATGATGCTAAAGTTTTGAAATTTTTACTTACAACGTAACAAAATTAAAAGTGGATCTTAATTTACGGTTAAAGCTAAGTTAAATAAGACCAGATATAAAGAAACATCTCTCTTAAACAGGCCCAAATTTTGTACTACATTTTATAATTAAAGTATTATAAGTAAATTTTGATAATTAAAATGGTAACCAATTTTTAATCTAATTTTTTTATATGTGCATATTTTATACAAATAGCCAACAGACTGTTGAAATGGCAAAATATATATATTTTTAAATATTGCTATTGAGAAACAGAAAAACAATCTTTGTAAAATGTTGTAGTGGTGCTAAAGTTTTGAAATTTTTGCTTAGATGGTACACATTAGTCAAAAGGTTGAGAACCACTGGTTCCATATGCCCAATATATATATATATATATATATATTGGGAATATCTATTATATCTATCTAAGAATACATCTGAGAAGTGTTGTGTGAAAAACATAAGATTTGCTTTAAATGGAGTTTTTGTAAATAACTGGTAGATACATGCTTTTGGTATAGTGCTGACAATATATCAAAGGTTTTCAGAAATTTTAGCTGTTTCTAAACTTTTATTTAATTTGACATAAGATGTTTATATATTTGAGAATGGAATTTTATTTTGTTGTCATTTTTTATTTTGTTCTGCTATCAGTTGAACATCCTTGAAAGCTACAGTTTTTCCATAATTGTTGTTACTTTATTAGGATCTGAAACTTCCACTGAAAGCCCAGAGGTTGCACTTTGTTTGAAAGATTTTGAGAAAGCTCTAGAAGGTTATGTGCCATCATCTCTGCGTGACATTCCACTTCAAGTACAAGATCAAAAAGGATGGTCTGATGTTGGTGGTTTAAAAGAGGTTAAAAAAGTTGTGCAACAAATAATTACATGGCCTATTAAGGTAATGCATGAATTTAAGTAATTTGTTTCCTTTTGTTAGTACAAATATACAGATACAAGTTTTAACTGATTAATATGGGAAATCTTTTAAATTAAGTTCATTTTCATTATTTTATACTTTGTATAAGTATATTTTGCTATTATATATATCTTTATGTGAAGTAATCACTTTTCGGTAGCTAAAGAAACGTTTTTGCTTTATAAAAAATTTTAAAATTAAAAGGTCAAGATTTCCCGCCCCCTCCTTGCTTGCTCAAAATTTATTATTTTACTTAATTAATAAGTGAACTTACTATTTAATTTAATTTAAGTCATAGTGTTTTTCAGTTGCTAAAATAGCTCTTCTGACTTTAACCTTTTTTCCAATTGCTGTTGTTCCTTTTCTAGGTCTTATTATTATATTTTAAATGCTTTGTCTCATTAAAATATTTTAAATAGTCATATTTAAATTGGGTATTTCTTCCCTCTTTTTCACAATGCTGCTGTATTATGTATTTAAAGCATGTATACAGGGTGAATATGAACAAGTGGACAAAACTTTAGGGGGTGGTTTAAGGCAGCTATGTGAGCAATATTCATCATAGAATGTATGGTTGAACTCAAGTGGTGAGAAGTATAAGGGTAGTTTTCCACTGTCACTTTTAAAGAATTAACACAAAAATGAGAGGAGATAATTCAGAAAACATTTTATTAACAGGAATGTAACTGATGTACATGTTCAAAGAAATTGCTCAAAAGACCTTCCGCCAGCTGAAATGCTGCCTTCACACCTGCAGAATAGGGACTGACGCACATTTGCAAAGACACAAGCTTTTCCCAAATATTGCCGGCAACAATGTGATCCTGGTGACTAGATCCGCATCGGTTTCAACAGGGCACACGTAGATTAGGCTTTTTATGTGGCTCCACAGGAAAAAGTCCAAATACAAGAGATCTGATGATCTTGGTGGCCTATCTATGGAATCACCTCCACCAATCCATCGTCCTGGAAATTTCATGGTTTGTATAACCAGCCATCCTTTTGACAATCCACATTAGAAAATGCCATTAGGTGTGATGACTAATTCTTTTATACCATTTACCATACCACATAGCAGCTTGCCATTTACATTCTGACCATGCATTCTATGACGAATATTGCTCGTACAGCTGCCTTCTATCACCTGCTAAAGTTATGCCCACTTGCTCAGATTCACAATGTATACGCTTGGTGTATTATATAATTGCAAGGGAGGTAGCCAAAACTAACAAGAATTATTTTGAAGCCATTATTCACACTTGCATTTTCCATGCAGAATTTCTCGTCCAAATGAGTAGCGATGAACTGCGAATCCTCCCCAGTTTTGATTAAAAAAATAGACCAGTGGCCAGGTAGTACTATCTAGAATTCCTTCCCCCCACCAAAAAAGAACGCTCCCTACTTTTATGATAATCAGTTTGTGGATGGACGTTGTAAATTACATTAGTGCTTGTTTCTCTCTCTCACTTTTTTCTATCATTGGCAAATAAAATGCATCATCATTTACTTGTTTTGGATATCTTGTCTTGTATAAACTTTGGAGAGGTAAGAGTTTTAACACTTAATTGATTTTTTACTTATTGATAGCTACAGCATTCAAATAATATTCAAACTCACTATGCATGCCGTTAACTTTTATTTGCATGCCCACTATTGGGCAAGTAGTAAAGTTGTTGAACACTGGTAGTTTGTCTTTGGTTCAAATCCCTGTGAATGGGCTTGTTGCATGAACATTTTCATGGTTTTCACTATTTGTAACATGAATATGAGTCACTTTCCCTTAGAAAGTTCTCCATCAAGGTATTCTTCCCTTTGGGTGGGCCCACGAGTGGCCAAGCAGTAAAGTCGCTGTACACTGGTAGTTCGGTCCAGGGTTCGAATTCTGCGAACAGATTGGCTGCATGGATGTTTTCACCTATGTGTAACATGTATACGAGTCAGTTTCCTTTAGAAAATTCTCCACAAAGGCATCTCTTACCTTAGGCAGATAGCTCTTGTGGCTTTGCCATAATTACATAAATGACAAATCACCTTCCCTTTATGCAGATAGCCTTTGGACTTGATGTGGTTTGCCATAATCAAATAAACCAAGCAGACTATCAAAATTTTATGCTTTTCAAACCATTTTCCAGCAACATCAGGACACTTTTCTGAATAGTTTTCCCATGTTTCCAGGCCCGTATTTCCACTTTTTCCAGGCTACTGGAAACATGGAAGCAATTCTAGATTTTTTGACACAAAATATTATCAGTTGAGATAAGAAACATTTCTTGAACCTCAACGCATTTTTTAAAAAAAGATTCCACCCCCTTTTTTAAAACTGTTTTTATTAATGGAAAGAGAAAAAAGATTATCTCTGAGCAGGAAGATTTGGCAAGTAACATGAATGCAATACAAATATAATATGGTTTTCCCCTAAGAATCGTTAGGGGAAGAGTTTTTCTTCAGAAATCGTATGAATGGTTTTCAGTGATCTTCGTTTGCAGCCTGTTGCACATTACTAATATTTTTCTCATTCTTATTTGTGAATGAAAGTTTTAGTCATAACAGCCTTCATTTGATATGGTGCCATTTCTGAATATGGAAAACCATTTGTACACTTACAATTTTCTCAAAGCATAACAACAGCCAGAGTTACAATTTTCACAAATGAAAAACAAAATTTCATTGTTACTTTCTTTTCTTTATGGTAGTTATGACGTATGGGTTACGTCAACTAACGAGATGCATTGAGAGTGCTAACTCTCAATCTGAGAGGTGTCAAAAGTTTAATATTCTAGGAGGGACAGATAGAGAAAGGTCAGGAAAGGGAAGACTCATGGGAGTCATTAGTGAAAACGAAATTACATTGTATTAATTAATGTACATATCTCAGTTATTAGTAGTGTAGTTTTAGTGATCATGTTTACTTTTGTGTGCGTAATAAACATTTAAAAATACAAAGAAGTGTGGATAATTTCTCTATGAGGCAACAAGAAGACCAGAGTGATATTACAGTAGTATACTTTAAAAAAAAATCCAGCAAACAGGAACATTCACAAATCAGCATTGAGGACAATTCACTTTGCATAGATTGATGACATTTAACAGATAGTTGCAAGAACAAGATCTGGTGGCATTATCTGTCTAAGAAATGCTGCCTTTCTGATTTGTTGCATTTCTGATTCTGTTGCGGTTATTTTTTTTATATCCCTAAGGACTGTCTTCAACGCTGTTGTTTTTCTTCTCCTTTTCTTATTGTATTTTGCTACACATACTTTGAACTACACGTACAAACAAAGTAGGGTAGAATTCTAGTAATCCACAGCTGCTTAATCTGCCAATGCCTATAATCAATGCTGATTTTTGTGATATAAAGAAATTTTTAGAAAATTCAGCATGGTAAGTTTAATGGTAATTTTTATCATAGAAATATACAAACAAAACAAAAATACATCAAACTTTTAATATATTTTCATTGAAGAAGCAATTTAGTATTGAAGTTATTGAGCATTTTGTGTTTACATGTTGATGCTCTCTTTTTATTATCAATACAGATCATGAGTCTGCGAATCTTTTTATTAAGATAAATTGCTACTTTTGGATGTATGTTTTATAGTCTTTAATATGTAAATAATCTATTTAATGGTAACTTTTTACAAACTTTGAATTCCATTATTGTCCCATATTTATTATTATTATTTTGTTTTGTTTCATGCAATTAAAGTGCTTGTTTGTGCTAACAGACAATGGAGATGAATTCATAAAAATAGTTGTTAATTGTAGTTTGTTTAACTTTTCCCATCATTTGTATGTGTGCTTTTTTCATGTTCAGTTTGAACTGTTCCTAAATGTTTGTTTCTTTAAGTTTGTTGTATTAGTTTAAAATGTGACTGTTTGCTAATAGGTAATAGTTGTATATTAGTATACTTTTAATTAATATAATAGTAGATGTATTTTGTGTCTTTCATCTTTCAGTATACACAGCTTTTCAAGGATTACTCATTGAAACGTCAAACAAATATTTTATTATATGGTGCTCCTGGAACTGGAAAAACTCTTCTTGCTGGTGTAATTGCAAATAAATGTGGTCTCAACTTCATTAGCATTAAAGTAAATTTTTCTTGATCTGATGTAATAGTATTATTTAAACAATTTTTTGCACTGTAATAGTACTGAATTGACTGCTCGTGTATTAGTAAAATAAGTGATATCCAAATAGTCATTATAAGTAGCAGTTTGAGTTATTCATGCATCTATATTTACTAAATAAAATAAGAATGCATTCTATAACTTCAAGAATACATTTTAATTAAAAATTAGATTATTAGGAGGAATATAATTGTGCTGTTTAATTTTAAAAATGCAAAGAAATAAGATGGGAAGCTTAGCAAAAATAAGCCATAGGACTGCAGTCAACAATAAATTTCATGCTTAATTTTACTTTGATTTCTTTATTTGTATAATAGTTAAAACTGGGTTTAATTCTTCATTTAAGCTGTCAATTCCTTATTGTTTTATTAATTTGGAATAATACAAATGCATTGCAAAAGAAAATGAGGTAGAAAAATTTAAACTTAGTATTAGAAGGTTATACGTAGTCTAGTTACTGCATTTTTTTTTTTTTTTTTTTTTTTTTTTTTTTTTTTTTTTTTTTTTTGTAGCTGGGAATGCTTGTAACCTTAGACATGTAGTAAATTATTGCTGTCTAAAATAGAATGAAAAGATTTACAAAGGTTTTAAGCAACTTATATTAAAATGAACTTTCAATAAAACAGGGCTTGGATCATACTGCAGGAAGAACAGTTAAATAACTTCAAACATCGATCATTAAACTTTGTATGTTGACTTGAGACTACACAGCTAAATACTGCACTACAAGCTGGCTCAGATAATTTAATGGTGCATAAGTGTAAAGTATCAGCTGCAAAATGCAAAGCCTTCAGGAGAATTTTGTACATCATCTTTGATTCTACCTGGGTTATTTTTACAATTTAAGCATCATTGGACTCTGATCTGAATAACAAGATCTACAATTCTATACAAGAAATAAGCTCTTATTTATAAACTACATGGACACAAATTCAGTTATGCAAAAATGCACCCTAAAATGATTAAAGTACAACAAGTACGTAAGTAAAAATGATATAAAATGTTATAACAATATACAAAAATAAGAATGCAGTCTCATTCAATTGAACACTGCAAGTATTAAAATATTTACAGAAATGTATAACAGTACATTTTAGAATGAATACCTTATAAGGTATTTCTCCTACTTTCCTAGCGTGGTGTAGTGGTTCTGCACGCTGAGCCGGTATACCAGAAATCCGTGATTCGATTCCCGGCAAAGGCGGTTGCTATTTTTAATTTTTCCTGCTACCAAAAATATATATAATGTCTCTACAGTGGCGGACGAACTAAAAGGGTTGTGGATAATGATTCTCCACACCCAAATTTGCGACTAGGTCCTCTAAAACCCTAGTTGCCCTTTAAAAAGGGGAGTGTATAATGTATTTCTTCTGCTTTCCTAGTATGCCTTTGTGGTGTAGTGGTTCTGCACACTGGGCCGGTATTCCAGAGGTCTGTGGTTCGATTCCCGGCGAAGGTGTTTGCTCATTTTTCATCTCTCCGGCTTTTCCAATTGGCCTAATGTCTCTACAGCCTTATAGACATTGTAAGGGTTTAGTTACCATTCATCACTAATGGAGGATTGTACAAAGAAGAAAGCATTAGAAACATTGCTCATGAAATACAACTAAAAAGAATGCTATTGGATATATTCTAAAATTCTATAAGAAGTATTTAAAGGTGAAAATTGAAATGTGGTTGAAGATTTAAAAAATTTTAATGTGCAAGAAACTCAGCAAGAAGTTTGGCACTGAATAAACTAAATTTGAAAAGGAGGAAGTGTCCTTGAATGAAACATCAAAAGATTAAGATTATCAAATCGATTGAGTAAACATATTGTCCTAAAAATGTTGCACTGAAATAATTAAAAAAAATTCATTTGAATAAATTTTATGTTTGAAAAATTGTTTCTTTGGAATTACAGATTATGAAGAGTTTCCAAATTAATTTAAAAGTTTATGATTTCATAAAGAAAATATTTTCATGCCATATGTTTCTGGGTATGTGAAATTCAGCAAATTGAGAATTTTTTTAAATTGCTTTTTAAGGCACACAAGTACATTTTATGTAGTTTAATTTCAATTTTTAAAATAACCTACAATTTTTAGAAGTGTTCTTTTTTTCTTTCATGGCTGTAATTTGCAGACACCAACAAAATAAATTTGTTTGCCCAAAAAAAAAAAAAAAAAAAAAAAAAACGGTCAACTCAAATATTTTAGAAATATCATTATTTTATCATTTTTCATAGTTTCAGAAAAGAGATTGGGAAAAAAAACTAAAATTGTAAATGTTTCATATATCTCTTTGTATTTCATCTTATAGTGCAGAACTGTTGGATAGTGAAAAGGTTAGTGTTTATGGACTCGTTACAAGAATCCATAAACACTAACTTTTTCATAACATTCTATATAAAACAGATTTAATTACATAATTGTAGTGAATTTTAAATCCACTTAATAGTAGGATGTAATTAAAATGTATTTTTGTTTCATGCATTATAGAATAATGTAATTTCCTTAACTTCAAACTAATAATTCATCAAAGCTTACCTTTTTTTTGAGGGGGGGGGATTTTAGAAGTATTAAATATGAAAAAATATATGTTAAACTTTTCTAATATAGTGTTTATAAAGAAAAGTAAAGATTTTGTTAGCCTTTAAAAATTACATATGTTCAGAAAATTAAAAATTCAGTAGTAGAAAAACTTCATATTGAAAGAGTAGTAATAGTATACATCCTTTACTGATTGATGTGGCATATTCAGCTCAGGATTATTAATCAAAAAATGAATGTAGTTGCTATAATTTAAGGAAATTTATATTTGCTTTCTTTATAAAGTTATTTATTTATTTTTCTTTTCTTCCCTTGAAGGGTCCAGAACTGTTATCAAAATATATTGGTGCTAGTGAACAAGCTGTTAGAGATGTTTTCAAAAGGTCAGTACCAATGTTTCTTTTGTATTAAATATTTTATGTTATGCAGTAAAATTTATTGTAAAAGGATTTAATTTTATTTTCAGGGCTTCAGCTGCAAGACCTTGTATATTGTTTTTTGATGAATTTGATTCTATAGCACCAAGGTAATTTTTATCATGAAAAAAATATTAATTTGAATTTTTAATGACTTATTTTTATATGCTTAAGTTAAATAAACTAAAAACTGTCTTTCAACTTAATGTTAAGACGTTTTTAATACTAAAGATTAATAGGCTAAAATGCAGTCTTGCGACTTGATGTCGAGGCTTTTTTTAATTGTAAAGAACTTGCTGAATTTATAAAGCATTTTTAAATATTTTAGAGAAAAATTAAATGAAATCAGACAAAATCTTTTAATATTTTGCTCATTGTGTTTAACAAGTACATTTTATTATTAGCTTTAATATTATAAATATCATTTAAATCATATTTAATTAATTTATAAGCATTTAAATTATGTTCCGATTTCATTTTTTAATGGACATATTTAAAGTTAACCGTGATTTTGATCAAGAGTGTCTTCCCCCCTTTTTTATAATTCTTAAATACGATTTATATATCAGTTTAATCATATTTTATGTTTGGAGTTTTTATTTATTAAATATGCTTATATTTCCTAATACTTGCTATTTTCAATTTTTTTTCAATTTTGATTTTATATTTCAAACTGCAGTGTTACTTCAGTGTCAGAAGCATGCCTGGAGATTCTTTGTATCACATCTTTATGTTAAATTCTCTTGTGTATAATGTGTAGTCAGTGTATTGAGTATTATAAGTGATGATCATTTGCTAAAAACTCTAAAGTTTATTCACTATGAGCATTTTTATATACAGAAAAACTGACAGCAAATATTTTTAAACCTAAATGGTCTGAAAAGGTGTAAATTTTTAAGAAATTTTATATGTTAATTTGGGCAGAATCCAGCGTTACACTGAACTGGCTTAAGTGTAGTCTAAGGATAAATTTTTCACAGAATTGAAATTATCACTTTTTTCTTCTAAGAATGTTTTCCATAAAATCTTTTTTGAAATTACATAATAAGATAAAATGCGTCTTAAAAAAATAACTGTAAATTGGAAAAGTTACTAATAACAAAAAAAAAAAAATAACAACACCAAAACAGGTATATATTGATGAAAATTTCGAGTTTGCATTGAAACTAATGAAGGAATTATAATTTAATGAGTTTGGAATGATTTAAATGAAGTTTTAAGCAATAAATTTGTTTCTGGCTTGTGTAATATTGAAATTAAGCTATTTTAAGCATAGAAAAAAAACTACTGTAAATGTTAATGAAATGATATAACCTAGAGTTCTGGAGAAGTAAATGAAACCATGATATAAAATTAGCCAAAAATGTAACAGTTTGATGTAGGTCTTGAGATTGTATTGATTTTGAGTGAGTTTAGACATAGGCTTTGCTTTTTGAGGAATTATAATTTTGCAGTGGTGGAAATAGTAGCAACCATTTTCTATGGAAAGCAATTGTTGAGCTGAGCAAAAATGAATATAGGACCAATCATTGAGAAAAATAATTTCGGAATGCGAAAAAGCTAAGTTAAATGTTAGAATTTTGAAAATGGTAGGAAGAATTGGATTAGAATTAGTGCCATTAACTTAAGAAGATAAATTTATTTGAAAAGCTTTCAAGGAAATACAGTTCACTAAATTAATAAGATTTGTGAATAATGTTTGCAGAACCACAGTCAGAATTGTAATTAGGTTTCTAACTAAAAATTTGATAGTTAGATTATCTGCAGGAGATCTCCCCACCTTTTATTTTTATTTATTTATTTTTAATGCAAGATATGCATTCCTCGACATAAAAATTAAATGATTTTTTAAAATTTGTAATGTATTGATTCATCTGTAAAGTTCTGCTTTTTTCTTTTTGTGATAAATACAAATGAAGCTGTGCAAAAGTTGTAAAATTTCTGGTCATTAGGTTTATTCATAAAGAAGTTATCGAGGCGCTGTTTTACAGTCTGTAAAGAAGTAAATTCTGAACTGTTCAGAGAATTTAAAAGTGACATGAAGAGATGAAAATCTGAAGAGGGTAAGGTCTAGTGAATATGGGGGGGGGCGACACAAAATATCCCATCCATATCCAATAAGGCTTTATCTGATATTAATCAAAATGTGGGGTTGATGATTGTCATGGTGGAAAACAACACTGACGGCTCAGTTATGGCTACTTTGCTTCAGCTTTTGCATTTAAAACTGCAATTTGGGAACAGTATCTTTTTGAATTTATTGTCTGATTTAGTGACAAAAATTCATAGTGTACAATTCCTGTATAGCCCTACTATATACAAAGCATTACTTTTGTTTTTTGAATGCAACCCTTCTGATATTATTAAAGAATGTTGTTTTGTCTTATCTAATCATATTTTTCATATAACAATAGTATATAGTATTCACTCGTGATCTCCAGCAATGAGCCTTTTTGATAAAAGAGCTTCTTTATTTCTTTTGAGCAAAGAATCAGATGCCAATTCTGAGCAAGCATATTCTGCTATTCTTACTTGAATAAAGTAAAGGGTATCTTTATATTGTAGCAGCTTACGTACCCAGTCTTCTTCAAATGATTATGTGCTGTACTTTTTTAATCATTTAATCTTTCTGATAGTTCATGACCTGTATAACATGGATTTTTCATACATTCTTGTTTACTGAGGATGCTTGTCTGAAGTGAGTATCATTTTCGAGTAGGAAATTTCCGCCCTTAAGTTTCTCAAATCACCTTCAAACTATGTCATCAGAAACAGCACTTTGTCCATACGTAGCTCAAATTTTACATGCAGTCTGACTAACATTTTTTACTTTTTAAAAATAAAAGAGTGTCATAATGTGATTAAAGTGAACTTTTGATTGCATTAGAACATTTTGGAACATTAGAAAGTAATGGGAAATAGTATTTCTCCCCAGTGCTCAATTATCATTTCTTCTGATATTAAATCACTGTTTACTATTGCTCCAGTTCAGGAGAGAACTTTGAAAATTCCAATTTACACTTGCTGGAATTGAGGAATTAATTCCTTGCTGTTTAATCTCCAATAGCTAGTCCTAGCTGAGCACTTAATAACAATTTATTTTCTTTCTATAAAAGTTATCTAAAATTCTTCTTCAGCTGGTAAATTGAATTTCCTCTGAAGACTTTCACAAATTTTCTTCTTTAAATGAAGGAATTTCACTCCAGTTTTTAAAATTGCTTTCAAAATTTTTATATCTTACTTTTTTACATATCAGTAATATTTTCCTCCACAGATGGGGTTATGTTTGTTTTCGCTTTACTCTGTGTATTGCTTTCTATATGCAATGACTGCATTTATGAAACTCCGTCTCTCTGCCTCTTTTTTGGGGGGGGGATGCCCCTGATGAATTCCAACCAAAGCTCTGAATGAGATGAATCCCTGTGGTTTGTTGCATTGAATCATATTATTATTATTAGAAAATTCTGTTCATGGTGCAACATTTCTTTTTGAAAGTAGTAAAGCTCATATCGATACTGGCTACTGAATACATGCTTCACTTTCCTTGAGAAAATCAGGCCCACTAGTGGCTGAGTGCAAATTATCTGAACACTGTTAATTCAACCAGGACTTGAATCCCAGTGAACAGTAAGGCTGCATGAGTGTTTTCATGGTTTTTCCCATGTTTTATGTCAATATGAGTCAATTTCCCTTAGAAAATCCTCTATGATGGCATCTCTTCTGTAAGGCAGATAGCCCCCATGTGCTTTGCCAAATTAAACCAAACCTAACTTTGAAATGAACAGTATACAGTAAAAAGTCCGTAATTCGGATGTCCATTATCCGGAATGATCTATAATCCGGACCTCAAAGCCACAAACTTTTTTTTTTTTTTGTATGCTTTATGCATGCGCGTTAATGCACATTTACGCATGTGCATGCACATTGGGAGGATGTGTCTCCAGATACATTAAAAAAAATGCTTAGCATCATTTATAGCCAGCTGCCATATTTCATGGTGAGGACGATGAAGATGATAGCCACGAATTTGAAGGTTTTCGGACATCGCAAACTAAAGTTAAAATTTTCCAGTTATTGGATTTTGTGAAGAAATGTGGAGAAGCGGTAATAAATGAAGATGCTATAACAGATGTTTTTCATTGTGATGATAATGCCCCAATCATCAATCAATTAATGGACGGCGAAATCTGTAGTATGATTCTAGATCCAGAAAATACTGCTTCTGATAGTGAAGAAAGTGACAGAGAGGTTATTGAAAACGAAAAAATTTCAATTGACAAGTTAGTCTGTATTCTCGACACAGCAATTACAGGACTTGAACAGTGGAACTTTGCAACTGAACAAGAAATTATGTCTGTTTATAGAATTAAAGAGAAAGTATTAGCACAAAAAAATAAAGCAACTTAAACAACTTACATTGAAAGAAATGTTTAATAAAGTAAACAAATAAATATTAAGCTTTTTGTAAATTTTGATACCCTTTAGATCATAATTGCTCTTTATTTCATAAATTACGGTTTCATATTTTTAATTGTATAATTTCTGCATGCCATCTTACCAGATTTAAATTCATGATCTATAATCTGGAAAAAACCCTAATTGCTGAAGTCCTGACAAGTCCAGATTACGGACTTTGCAGAAAGGTGGAAGGAACCTGTTTAAATGCAATCATTTCTGGAAGAGGAGCAAGTCAAGAAGGATTTAACCTTAGAAAGATTGGATTTTTTCCATTACTAAAAGGTCTAAAGCCATGATTTTAACAGATTGAATTAACCCTTTGTGGTGCACTACACTTTAAAGTCGGTATTTCAACAAGAAAAGTTGTATGCAGTCTATCTAGTCCTAAAGGAGTGTACAGATAAAATTTTGTAAAAATTGAAATTACCGTTTCAATTTCGTGGGTGTTCCATGAGGTGGAACACTGCACCACCAGAGCTCTTAAAAGCGCGACTAAGCGAGCATTGCAGTGAAGCACGGAAATTAGTAGAAGTTTATGTATAGTAATGAAAAAACAATGTATTATGGCTGTATACATGGTTTTCTGGATATATACAATATTCTTGAATATATATGGATAAATGAGATAAATATATGTATATACACAAGCCCT